CATCGGTTTTAGGTCCTCGTGGTCAAACCGTAAATTGAGGTGGTAGAAAATCGCTAGGATTGCTTTTATGATAGTCTAACCTGGTTTAGTGAACGTGTGTAATGGAAACAGATGTCTTGAAAATGTGCGGGATCGCAGAAATCCTCCACTTTGGATAGCACTGACCAGAACATAGCTGCTGTATTAGGTATACGTAGGAGGATCTCGATTTACAGTGCAATTTTGATTTTGCGTGATTTACATTCAACTGGAAATAAAGCCAAATCTGCGAGCGACTAAACTCAAAGTATCCTATTTTTGATAGAAGAGGACTCAGAATCGTAGATCTTCACTTTCTTAAATATGAAGTAAATTATAGCGATGAAATCAAGAGGAAACAATAGCGCCCTTTCCTTCCCATAAAAAACCAAGGTTCCAGCTTACAAAACTATAATTTCAACACCTTAATAAGTGCCTCAGTTGACTTAGTTCGAACGGTGTATTCTCGCAATTTCTGCATGGCGGTTTGCGACTTGTTCTCGTTTGACCAATTTATGTCAACACAGACGGTTAGGTGTGCAATTTTATAACCTCTGCCTGCGTACGATGCAGAAGAATGCAAGCCATTCCACGCCCCCTATGCTTGTATGTGGGAAAGGTGAGTTTTCAAGGACAGAAGGGACAGGTGGCAGCCACTTCCGTTTTGTGTGATAGCCAAATGTGCAATGGCACAAATCTGTCAGGGTGTGGATCTCCCGTGACGCAGCAGTGGCTTGCTTCTGTGACACTTGACTGCGAAACTGCCATGGTTCATGATAGTTGAAGCTGGTAGGTGATTTTGACCCGTAACAACACACCACAAATTCCATTCATTGAGCGCATACTCTAAATGTCACTCGAATATTAGTATGTGTTTAACAGAGACTACGTCACAGATGCAGAGACTAAGAGTAAATGAAAATTATTTTACAAACAGACTTCCTACCAGCCCTATTCTAAAACATAATTATTGAGCACGAAATGTATGATCAGTGTGGCTTGCCATTCAGAACTTGAGGTAGGTGGATGGTGCCACGAAGGAAAAACTACTGGAACTAGTGAACTTACGGAGGAATGTGTTAATAGGTGAGCTAAAAGTTGGAGTAGGAGAGGAACGTTGTAGTAAAAGCATAGGTTTATGAGAGGACATAAGGGCAGGCGAATGGAGAAGAAATGAGAAGCAAGAAACGAATATATGAACTTACACATGAATTGGGAGATGAGGTTATTGAAAAAGGACGAATTACCATGGGTACATCACGCTCAAATATTTCGCTGCAAAATCTTGCACATCTTTGTTTAAACGTCTACCCTCGGCTGGTTACGCAGTCAAAACATCATTTTATTTTACAGCAGTTCCGACACCTCACTCATCGCTGCTGCGCGAACGCTGAACACCACATAGCCGTGCCAGCCAAAACCTGTCTCAAACATTTTAGCCACAAATTTAATATTAAAAATGTTAAAAAGCGAAAGTTCCAAGTCTTTTCAGCAGAGCGGATAAATTGGTGTTTTGTGTGGCATGTAAATAAGCATCTCGACTGGCTCAAAGCAACAGAAGAGCATTTGGCACAACGCACGTTTTTATGAGTTGAAGGCTGATACAATTAGGTGCCACATTACTTTGACTTTTCCAATGTCGTGAAACAGAAAGCCATGTCCACCTCACCTTTCCCAATGGTCTCTCAACCCTCATGTAGATGTGCGAAAAAGCTGCCTCCAGCTTGGTGAGCCTTGTAACACCTACAAGGGTAGGCTCAAGCAATGCATGAAAGCCGCGACAGTCGCTCAAGTGCGCGCTTATAAAATGATCATAAAGTTAGTTTTGTTTGTTTGTTTATTCGTCCTGCATAATGAGAAGTGGCACAAATGATGCTGCCGTAGGTAAACAGGATAGCAAGCGACCCAATTAAGAGATAAGGTGGGAGGGAGAGGGGACTGAAAGGGAACAATAGAGATAAAACTTGGGGTTAGTTTTGCCATCGAAAGCCAACCCACCAAGGGCATAAATAGCAGTCAATATGAACAAGAATTTTGGCATTAAATTGGTGCCTGTGATGCATTAAATTAGGCGCAGAAGTCGGTCTTACGACAACTTCGTTGAGGAGGAAATTGTCCCTTTTTTCGGAGATGCACTACTTTCTATACCGTCTGTGTAGGTGAATGGAGGAAATAGAGAAGGAAATGTTAAGGCAAGAAAAAGGGGAGGGCTCCATTTCTTACTACCCCCATCACCTGCCCACAAATCAAAATTGATAAACAGAGGGACAGACAGCGAATTCAGCAAAAGCTAATTAATCAAACGAGGTGATAAATTCCCCAACCTGATTTATCGTCTATGGTTGCTTTGTTTCGAAATAAACACTTTTCACAGTACGTAAAAGCAATCGCAGTCGAACCACCCAGGGTCCTATGAATACAATGAATTAGGTTAAGTTACCATTCTTTAGATGGAACAAGAGAGCCGTTTGCACAATGATAAACACCCAAACGAGCGTCGTCGGTGTCTCGCCTTAGCGTCAAAGCAGTGCAATTTTCCATCAATTCCATTAATGTTATACCGTGCATGTGCATGCTTTTATTATCTAACCAAAAAGCACAAAACAAATGAGTTCACATTTTAGTTTACACTTTTCTTAGTTGTCCAAATCAACTCGGCATTATGTAAACTCTTGATGTAGTTTGTGGAAAGTAGTTATTTTAATTCACTAGCTATTTAAGTTATTGGGTCCAAACGGTTTTCTTTAATAGAGTGGTGAAGACATTAATACTTCTGGTTTGTTTTCGTGCAGCTATGGGCAAATACATCCACGTATCCCCCTATAACCACTTTCAGCCCATCAATTTTCACAGTCTTGATCCCAACTTTGGTTCGTCACATGGTTAACTGATTCCCAAGATTAAAATCGCTTAAGAGAATAATACCCTTCATACTACCTGCTTAGTAGGGATAAAAATGCACCCAACCTCGTGCATGTGCCAAACGACCGCATCATCCCGAGGATTGAGGTCATATTCGACCCCAGCATGGCATGCATTTGTTCTTTTCTGTGACCCCAAATGATTGCCCATTGATGCTCCTCCTTAACAAACTCAGGACTTAAGGCAGTTAAATATGACAGTTCATTTAGGGTCCACTTCCAATCTTGCCATTTAAATAGAATGGTCATTTCATTTGTTGCAGCCAAAAGACGTTGATGTTCTTCTGTTTTAATTACATGCAAAGCCGACTGCAGTGACGGCACACTTTGTCAGGCGAGCAACAGTTTGTCCGATCTTTCAGTGTAGTTCACTGCAATTGCTTGTAGCATTGCAAGTCTTTGTGAATCGCGGGATGCCTCCAATTGTTTAAGATGTACGGGTTATAAAGCACTGACATGCACATCGGTCTATCAGTACGGCGCTCTTTTCCTGTGTCCCCTGTATTGCCGTGTTATATTGAACTTTCCCTTTGAACATGTGGCTCGAGCTTGTCTACTTCACAAACTGATTTTAACTCGCTCTTAAAACTGCAGAAGTATCTCATCAAATTCGCTGCAAAGCATTTGAAGATGCATAAAATATGGAGGAAAACCAGAACCCACAACCCAAAAGCCTAGCTAAATTATTTGATTCTGGTGATGAATGGCTCAGAGGTGGACTATGCCCCATGCTCGTAAAGAAGTTCAATTTTTTACTATGAATAACTACGTTACAGCTAAGGAAAGGGAAAGATAAGGAAAATGACAATATCTTCTTCCCAGTTCTCCAAGGTCCGAATACTTATCGCCTTTTCGGAATCACAAAATTGAATGATCGCATGCCAAACAGAATAGGTGGTGGGATGATAATACAAGTGAGATAGAAAAGCAGGTAAATGGAACTAGATTTTCTCAGCTTCCAGAGGTAGGAAATATCATTTAAGTGGGATTGCCAACACGCTGTGTCCTGTTGAGAAAGAATAATAAATTTCAGTGGCGATTATTTAGAGGAATAAAATATTTAACTAATCGTCCACACTCTAATGGATTCACATTATAAAGACCATGCAGACTTATTTGACTCGTCTTTACCCAGACACAACAGAGAAGGACAAATCGCAGCGTGAACGTTTGAAGCAGCTTTTGCGTCGCCGATTATAAAACTCCATCCAATTTCCCACAGCGCAATAATAAATTGGAAATTGAAATCATTTGTGTAGGTGGGTTATCCACAACTGCACAAAGTGGGGTGTGCCTATATACGCGTGAAAGTTGAAAACAAGGCTGTCTAGTCGTACCTCGTCGTACTGCTTAAAGTGAATTCCCATCTCATCACTATGCCGTTTCGAGGCTACTTCATAAAGGGAAGTAAGCTGCAGAGAGACGATGTCTCTACACTCAATGCTGCAGTTATTGCTGTTGTTCAGTCTTTGTTGCAGAGAGAAGTGTTTGCCACTGCCTCACACTACACATGTTTTCACTTTAGTTCGCCATCATGACAGTAGGAAGTGAATTTTGAGGAGGTTACTCCTCTTCTAACAGTCGCCTGTTTGGCTCGAGTGGTGCCACTTCGAGCAGCCTAATTCTAACTGCCACAGATCGTTGGAATAGGCAGTGTTTACAATCTTCGTGCTGACAATTCATGCATGGCACGAGATGAATGTATCCGTTTCCACTGCAGTGAGTAGGATCCTCTGCTGTAATGGAGCTTAGCGCTTAAGCCGTAAACCAACCCAAAGTTCCGCTCTAGTTGCCACCGCTTTGGATTCGCCTGGTTCTAGACCATTCACCTCATACTCCAAGAAAGCATGAATCGGTCGCCTATCATCACAAAAGGACGACGATGATCAAAACTACATAAAGTGCATTCGAGAAGGGGGTGAGGATACTGCAACTTTCATAGTATTCATGAACAAAGATTCGGACTTCCAGTGAAACCGCCCATGCAATACCTACCGATATGATACGTGCGTGAGCGCGAAAATTGCAGTGCCTGATTATCCCAAACATGCATCCAGCGGCAGAGACGAGAGCTGCAAATAATGATGTCATCCAAATATGGAAGTCTGGATTTTCTTACTCCTAATGCTACATAAGCATGCCCTACTACCATCCCTCCACCACTGCCACCTTTATTGTCGCCGCAAATTCAGACTGAATCAAAGGATATACTTTGGACAGTTCACAAGCACTCCTCCCTTTTGTCGTTACACGGGGCGGCAAATTTGGGGTGGAGAACAATAAGGGTGGAGGGAGGAGAGAAGTAGCATCACTGTGTGAGGTAAATAATGCTGTCTGAAATGCCGACTTAAAATTAGGTAGAACAAAGTGTAAGGTGTTTAACTGGCCAAGAACACGACTATACAAAATACGGAAGTTGAGATTGTACAGAAAGGAAAGCTGATTTGAATGCTTGATTCTCTTGCCCTAGAATCCACGACTTCGATGAATTGGGGTAAATGCCTTACACAGCCGTGTAAACATCTAGCAGAGGCATGTAGTTGTACTTAACCAACGGTAGTAAAAACAGCAATATTACGAAAAATACTAAATCAGGAAGGTAAGTAAGCTTAGATTATGAAACGTGTGTCATTTCGTGGCTCAGGGAAAATTGTGTAAACAAATATTGAGGAAACTACAACATTCCAGAACCTTAAGCACATTCTACATCCAAGTGACGGTAGCATATAGACATTACCCACACCTTACTTTATAAGCGGTTTTAAGAGCCTTACAGGATGTAGTTTCTTTTTCTCGGTGCCACAAAACTCGCACTGTATTTATAAAGTCACGTTCACTTTCAAATAATTCCATCCCATCGCCAATCAATGCTGAGTTCATTAAAAGAGGATTTCGCCTTCAAGGGAACCAAGGGACGTACTTCTTCGCCCATCTATGACAACCTTGGCGTGTCGGAATTCTCCCTCATAGACTTACTGTGCCCTGCACTGTCAGCAGATTCGGGTAGCACCCTTCCAAGACACACTTTGCCATCACGCATAAACAAGGACAAGTTTCTATCCCACGAACCACTAACAAATTGATAAAACTACAGAATTTCATCCTATTTCTGTTATCATCAGGCAGAGCAGTGCTACATATTTAGACGAAGGAGGAAATGCATTTCACGCTTTTGAAATGTGTCCCGTAGGTTACAAACATCACCTGAGGAAGTCTTTACTTACTTCAAATATACGCTGATTTTGGTCAATAGAAATACTTAGTTTTGCTCATCGCTTACTCCCATAAGAGGCTCCAACAGTCGCTGTCGTCGGCTGCTGAAGACCGGTTAGAGAGGGTGGTTGAGGAAGAGAACTGGACACAGCGATGGAGGAGGATGGAACACGAGCCACGTATGAGACGACACAGATCAACGTGTTTTCACCCAACTCCTTCAGGTCGTGTTGAACCACCACGTTGAAGTTCTCCTGTGGACGCAGCCGACACCCCTCCATCGGCCATCCACCCACTCCACCGCCTTCGGCCACACTTGGCAGATGACCTGCAGACACACCACGAATAGGTAATGGTGTGTATTCTCCACTGCCCTGTACTGCAACCTTCAAAAGAAAAGAAGGCAATTTGCTTATATTCGTTGTTCGATTGGACCGCCATCATGCATTTCATTCAGTGTTACTCCTGCTTCTGCTTCGCAATGTCATCTGTGAAAGAACGGTGAGCAAAGACGACAAAATCCTCTCACCACTGACTTGACCCACTGCATTTAAAAAGGGTGAGATGATTAATTAATTCCATTAGCATGGTAAAACTATGTGGACTGACCGCCGATTTTCATTTTAGTACCACCGCCCACCACAGGCGAAGACTAACTTAATTGCAGTAGTGTCTTAGTATACGAAGAGTACAAGCCGAGTAAACGTCACAGAAGGAAGGCTCTCTCTATGAATGCTGGAGCCTGCGAGCACGCACAAACGCCAATGAAATGCGAAGGGTGTGGGTGATAAATGACCCAGACAGACGGTTGGGCAGCGTCAAACTGATGAGATGGAAGGGTCAAGTGTTTGCCGAACCTGCTTCAAGACTGACTTGTCTTTAAATGTAGTAAGGGATGATCCACACAATAATGGCGGCATGCAAATGCTTTCATTTACATAACTAGCACTGGAGCAAAACCACCTTGTTCTTATCATAAATTTAATCATGCATAATCGAAAAGCCACGCATATAGCCTTCCTTGGCTCCTCTGTAGGCAAAGAGCAGATCTCCTTTCATACTGTTTTGACCTAATACGGCTTCAGAGAAGGCTCAGGGCGCAAAAACGTAAATTAACAACTGATATTCCATCACCATCGCTGTAGTCTGCACTCGCCAGTAGTAACTAAGTACGCTCTCAGCTCTACTGGTTCACCTTACATCAGGAAAACCGTTTTTTTTGGCCCAGAGAAGGCACCCATTGGCAAGTCGTTGGCCCCATAATCACGCTTTTTGTCTGTATACAGGCATTCGGTGTTAAGTGAACACACCCTTGAGAAATCACGATTCAGTAGTAGTGAAGTTAACTCTCTCGTAAAAGAAACGTGGAGTGACACCAACTATTTTAATTTCGCTGGTGTTATTTAGCAAGGATTTGGACGCAGTTTATCAAACTCTTGTGTTAACCACACTTTTACTTCACCAGCCCTTCTGTTAATTCAGAACAAAGCAACCTGCGTACCCTCATGCCGTGATACTTCTTAAAGGCATCAAATGCTCAAGGAAAGCCGCATGATTTGTGACATAACTTGGTATAATGATGTGAAACGACTAGTAAGGACTTGGAAAGTGCCACTGATCCATTGCAAAGCATAATACTGGCACGGCAGCATATCAGCACGGTGCCCTTTGTCACCTTCTCTATTACCGTCCATTTGCATTGCTCCCGCAGAAGGGGAAAGGAGGAAGAGCGAGAAATGCTGGCTTATTCCCATTTTTTGCATTCCTCGCATATTTCGCCATAATCCAAGTGACTTTTTCCACTTTTGGCGTTAAACAATCACATTTTGACGTGCAAGGCAAAACAGATAGTTGGGAAATGAAAGTAAGATAGGCGTAAACGCTGCATTTTTTCTGTGTTTAAGAGGCAAAATGTATTATAAGGTGGTGATTTGCAGCAGAGATGGTAGGTTTATTGCAAATGCGATTATTTCACCATATGTGGCATTTACCTTTAAGCCCCCAGAACTCATTTGGCTAACTCACAGCCCGAAACGGCCCCTGCCAGAAGTGATTAACTTTAGTTAATCTGTTTTCCATCAAACGACCCTTTGCAGATCTGCTGTGTTAGCGGTCTAATGCATTTTTGAACCCTCCCACGCCATACTGCACCTGTAAAGTCATTAGCATTTCAAAGCAAAAAAAGGAAAAGAATCACTTCGAAGTTGTTCCACTTCCTGCCAGACCAGACTCCTGTTTGGCCATCTTAGCACTACCTTAATGCCTGAAAAACTGCGCTGTCCCAAATTCAAACCCAAACTTCAATCGTTTAACAAAAATGAGAAGTTCACCCTATAAATGTGGATTGCGCTTGATAGACCTTTTCTTTCCAAGTCTGTTTCATAACCTGAACAAATCAGAAATTACAGCTGAATATTATGAGTTTTAATTGCTAAATGTTCCCGTATAAATCTTAGGATTGTTTGATAACGAAATCCGTTTCTGTGGAAGTCGTTTAAGACAAATTTCTTATCTCATGCTTGAGCCGCGATGTGTCAAGCAGATCTGCTTACACCGTTCACAAGTCCATGGCGTCTGTCATGAAGGCGCATCGATACTAGCACCACCTTAAATATGCACTTGGGCATTTGATTACCACCTTTTGGCATGGTCTTTAGGAGCTACTTTGTGATGAAAGCACGAACTGCAATCCACATACTCATGCCCAATTATGGTTTAAAATTCTTCGTGACGTCTCGCATGACCAGCGAACGAAATTTCTGGCCAGTGACGGTACAGCTCATGAATAATGAATTGGTGATATATTTCGTGTGCCAAATTTTAATCTGTGGCACAAGTAAACCACGTGGGGGACCTGAGACGAGATCAATGCCTGCCATTCCTTACCCTCATTGGATCTTGCAAATAAGGCTGAGTACCAAAAATCTCCTTCTTCTCATTCTAATTCATGGTCTCTTGTTTATCATTCGACAAGGAGTGGTGGTAATCTGTGTTCAAAGAGTTAAGCACCTCACATTCCACTCACCCGTAGTTGTACAGTTTGCTCTAATGACCTCTCAGTTGTTTTCACGTCATGACAACTTGGTGACGACCCTGTGTCAAAAGCGACTGCATCCCACGGAGTACCTGGCATATGTCTACGTGCCTTCAATTCTTTAAATTGATTGCACCCTCAAACGAAGTGCAATCAGTCAGGTTGTACTTGTAAGATAGAGGGAATTACTCCGACTTGAGTGATTGAAAATATGAGCAAATAGACTTCGAGACACGAGAAAAACCAATTGAAAATAGACGAAAGAAGTCATTATCTCTGAAACATTGTTCTTTACAGAGAGAGCATTATGAATTTCGATGATAAATGAGGTACGGCATCTCAGATCCGTGCAAGGAAAAAAGTGGTCGTACTTTTTCTATTCTAAGACTACAAAACAAAATATTATTTTGAAAATAAAATTTGGCAAAAAAGTCTTCGGATTTTCGCTATAAACCTATTTGCTTT